GAACGTTTCCCTAAGTAGCCCATGAATTTCACTTACCTTACTTTGCTCACTGTTGTTGTCTGTGAGAAAAGACCCATTGTCTGGCCACCAGTGAAAAATTTATGTTTGCGACATGACTCGGTCGTTTGTGTGCCCGAGTAACGGTCAGAAGTATTAAACCTGCTTAATACATTGATTTAATCATTTTAATGTATCTTACTGGGGAAAAAAAACACAAAAACCCACTCTTGACCATAACAAAGAGTAGAAAAAGACCAGCTGGGCTTTCTTGTGTGAACTAAGACAAAGTGAAGAAACTTGATAAGTGACTCGCCCGGGTTGAGGCCTCTTTGAGCAACAAGCGGCGAGCTGTGCGAGCAGCGCCTTCACCGCGGGGCCCGTCGTTGGAGAAGGTGGGGAGGTAGAGGTTTTTCGTTTTTTAACAGGTCCCCAGTCATGCTGCCTACAGACGCCTCCTCCAAAATGATCTGGTCCCTTTCCAAGAGTCCAGCCCCTTCCCGGACCAGGCCTGTCCATGCCAAAGCTCCAGCTCCCGGGAGCCTCGCTTCCTCTGGGTGCTCGGGGCTGGCGGCTTTCCAGGGGGCTCCAGGGAGGCCGCACTGTCGAACCAAAGGAATGCTGCCTGAAGGACTGGTTTCCAGGTGTGGCGTGAAGCTAGTGAACCAGAAAAAGGGGATTTATCAACGATTTAGAAAGAAGGGAGGAAAAAGAAAGAAAGGAAGGAAGGAAAATAAATCAGCCAACAATCAGGACTGACACCTAAGCCTACTTCTGTCAATCTGAAATAGGCTTTGGAGGGAAAAGCCTTTAAGAGAAAAATCAGGATGGTGAGATTTCAGTTGCAGAGAAGTATGCAAAGCTGAAAAGTTTGGCTCTTCTTGGGGGAATGTTAAGGTGAGGATGGGGGGACAGTTAAGGTGGGGATAGGGAGGGAAAGTCTCCAGGAGATACCTCTCCAGCAAGACAACAAGATGAGATTTTAATGATATTTTTCTATCTTGGGTTTATATTTTTTAATATATCTTTTTTCCCATCTCCAAGTTGACTCAGAAAGTCCTCGTGATTCTTGGAAAGTCATTGAATTTATTTCTATAATTAAGTTATTTTAAGCTAACAGTCTTCATATATAATTTTTAAGGATCCTACATACTAATAATACATTTTCCATTTTAGTAAAACTTGGTGAGAAAGTAGATAGTATTAGTAGATACTCTTCAGAGTCTTTGTGTGAGTCTGGATACTAACTTTGTGTTCAATACAAATCAATGGAACTAGTGCACTTTAGGGTACTTATTCCCTAAGGAGTCACTAATGGAATTATCTCTAGCCCTTAAAAAAAAAAAAGTCACAATGAGGCTAATGAAATTTTTTTTTCTAAGTGAAATCTGGATAAGGCACTAGACTTACTAGCACATTTTATTTATGGCATTTATCATATATGGCACGTTTTACACACAAGTTATACAAACCTCAGAATGTTTTTAAGAGCTGTTTAATATCTAAGAAGACTTTGTAACTCCGGGTTAAATTGTTTGTACCAATAGAGAAGTATATTATATGTCCTTAACTTCAAAGTCATTCTGGGATGACATTAAAACTTAGAGAATTTTTTTAAATATCAGATACAGATGAAAACCCTAACAGTCTTTGGATTGGAAATAACTTTGGGGGGTTTTCATTAAAGTTGGGTGCAGCTTGCTGCATTTTGGTTAGTTGGATGTCTTCAGCAATTTTTCAAATGTTTTGGGTTTGGCAAAGTCCAAAATGTTTTTGCCAAGACCCTCTTTTCCCCTTATTTTTTAAACCCGTGTGAAATTCTAGGATAACTTAATCCATATGTGTCTGATTCATTTACACTTAACTCATCAAAATGTTATTTTGTAAGACCCATTTAATATTCAAGAAACCTTTTGAGCCTTTTTAAGACGTCTAGTCTTGTGTCTTTGAACCAGTGAGTTGTATTTTTCCATATGAATGGAGCTTGGACCTTGAAAGACTGAAGATCAGTTGATTTTCAACTTAGGCGCTTTAAAATTTGAGTATAATCAAAACTTGATATTCTCTTTACTGCTTGAGCACTGAATGCATTCATTTTAAAATAAAGATCAGAGGACATGGAAAAAAATTTCATGTCATGTAATTGGGGGGAGAAGACCGTATTTGGAAATTTCATCATAGTGATGTTAAAGAAAAAAGTTATTCCTAATTTTATTTTTTAATCTATAATTAAGTCATTCCATTTTATATGTACATTGGTGTGTGTTTTCAGAGTGGCCTGTGGATCATTGATAGAATGGGGTAATTTCATTTTTTAGTGTTAAAGTGTTTTTACAGACAACTCATTAATTAATTTTAATAATAACATCTCTGACGTTTATAAGATATCCCAAGATCAGGGGAGTTGACAATTGGCAGGAATTGTACGTCAAGAGATTTCTGAAAAATTGGGGCCCATATGTTTTTAAAATTCTGTGTGATTTAAAAGAATGTGGTCGAGTTATGAATCTGGCAAGATACAGCACGATGGATTAAAAACATTGTTTGAGAACAAAAATTCAGAGAGGCCAAATGGAGCCCAAGTGAAAAAAGCAAAATTTCTGTGACCCTTTGTAAAAGGATCTGGTGAAAACCTTCAGAGGCTCCTATGCATATTTGTTTAGTAGAACCGGACAAAGAAAGGCCATCGCCATAACTGCTAGTGAACATCCAGTCCACGCCATGGTAACTCTCTGAAAATGGAATACTGGAGTGGCATTTCCAAGTTCAGTGCTTCTATAAAGACCTGCTAGCACGCAGAATGCTTTTTTAATGTTCTGCATTGTTGTGTATCCCCCATTGAACAACCTTTTGAGAGGACCCCGTTTTTACTAATGTAAACATTCTGACGAGTATCCAAAGAAATGACCTTTGAGTGAACCTCTAACCTTCCCTGTAATTATTTGTTTGAAGACAGTGTGGAGTTCTCCTGCTGAGAACTGAGAACCATGATGCCTTGCAGCTCTGTGAGTGAGGGAGTGTTTGGGGGAACTGGAGAGAAAGACATAAATAAGGGAACAACCTCCAGATGTAAATAATAAAAGAGCAAAAGGGTGAAATTAAAAAGGGAAAAAATAGCAATTCGTTTTACCTAAAGAGTTGGCCTATAGGAAAAAACAAAACCTGGATTAGTAGCCCATAAAACGAGGTGAAACCCCTGCCATGTGTGTCCTCCATTAGAAACTTCAAGGAGGAGGGAAAGGTTTCTCCCTCTCTCCCGAGCTCCTCAATGGGTCCTCGCCTATGCTGATAAAAAGAGCTCCTGGGGGTGGAAATCTCAGGTCAGACCACAGTGGTCCCAGTAAAAGCAAGTGAGGGCAGAGTAGATAATTAAGCTCCTTTTCTGATTGGAGGGATAATTCTGGAAGGCTCTGTGATCTATCTGAGCAACACTTCTGGTGCCAGGTGGGAATAAATATGCAGTTAGGACTCTCCTTTTGTTTTCACCTCTCATAGCCTGTCACTTTCTTCCCCAAACCTGCAGGGGTGTAACATTTCTGACAACTGAGCTCTATACTTTATTAAGTAATAAAGAAGTTCATTGTTTTGCAAACAAACACCATATGCAGAAGGCTCCTTTGGTTTCCTTGCAGCTATTACTCTCCAGCTAATGGTATTCCCGCTGGAGTGAGTGCCCACAGGAGGCCTGAGGAGCGTGGGCTGCCGTCCTGCAGCAGGGACTTCAGCTAGGGACTTCATCTCGCATGTAGAAACGCAAAGCTGCCGATGCACGCCAGAATTTTTTTGGCTAATTTCAAAGAACGAGTTTTCAGTTCCTGCCTGTGGCCCCATGCAGACTCATTAATCATTAAGTCCCTGTGCACTTAAGATTTGACACTGGAAATATTGGGAAATGTTACATATAAATGGGTATATTTTTAAGAGACAGCTAGCTATATGCTAGACATTCCCCCTCCCTGTGTGTCCCCCCCAAGTGCACAATCGATGGATCCTGTGCATCAGCTCAGATATGTGGGGAATGCTTGTCATTAAATGCACAGGGACAAGGGTAACTCACAAATGGTGGAAAATTGTTTTGTTTTTATTAAATTTAGAGAAATAAAGGAGATTTCTTATCATCTTACTCTGTTTATACATGAATATTTGATGGGCATTATTAAACATTAAAGTAACATGAAGTAGGCACTTATTTTTGGATTTCCAACAAAATTAGATCCAGGCTTCTAGACGAAATAACTGCTTCTCCACATTCCTGTGATTCAGCCACCACCTGATTTGAAAACGTTTCTTGGGCTCTAATATCAACCATGTGTACCTGAGGCTCTGTCTTTCTAGTGGGTTGAAAGGTGGCTGGGTTTATGGTTGGCAGTTACCTTATCCCTGCCCTGGGTGTCCCAGCTTAGACTGGAAAGGCCGCCCCCAGCTGGCACTGACCTCTAAATGACCCCTAACTTTACAGGCTTAAACTGCAGGAGTTGCCGAAGAGCAGAAGTCTTTCTGGCCAGCACTTATTACTGCTGTGTTGGTGATAAAACTTCAGACAGCCTAATTGATGGCTTTGCTGACCTAACAATACCTTGTGAAAGCAGAGTGCCAGAGCCTGGTCTCCATTTATGACCAGCTGCAAGGGGGAAGCTGGGTCTCCCTGTGATGGGGAGTTTAGGGAAAGGGGAAAATCTTCCAGCCTGCGAACTTTAACCAGATTCCGACTCGTTCAAGAAGCAGAAGCACAACTGTGAATTAATAGAAGCTTTCTCAGGGAAAACGTTTTTCCCTGCCTGGGCCTTTTTTAGCAAGTCAGCCTCCAGTTGATTACGAGATGACAGAAGAGATGATCCAGTCAACCACTTCGGAATGGGGAGAGAGAAAATCACCTTTGAGTGAAAAAGAGAATTTTCACGAGATGCCCAACACTACGTCGTATTCCCCGCAGTGTTCCCGCAGAGGTGCTCGCAGGGCACAGACACTGCATCCGATGACGGGTCTTCTCTGTTTCGTTTCAGGTTTATTAATGCCAGAAGAAGAATAGTACAGCCAATGATTGACCAGTCAAATCGAGCAGGCAAGTTCCAGCTAGGACCCATATTCTCACCCCACAGGCACAAAGCCCCGCCAAGTTATACTGCAGGAGTTTCATCACCTGGTAACTAAGCGCTTCCATCAGGCATTCTGGGACATTTGCGTTTTTACTGTCCCCAGAATTCCATTCTAGGAAGCAACTTCACTAATTGGTGCTAATTGGAGATTTCCCACCCTGACTCTACTGAAACTGCTTTTTATTTTCTTTCTGAATTGGTAATTGGGCACAAGCATTAGTGCCACAAGCAGTTTGTTTGACTGTGAGCTCTGGCATGACTCATTGCTTGTCTGCATCCAATCATTAGCACACTCTCATTTTCTTGGTACCCACAATTCCTTGGTGTACGTGTTGCTTTCACTCCTGGAGCATCCCCTGTTAAACTCATTGTATCCATTCATTGGCTTTGACTATTCATAATATCCTATCAAAGCCTGAAGTGCTGCATTGCCAGCATTATTTTTTTTTTATTAAGATTATTACCTTTGTTTAAAATGCTTCACATCCATTCCACTAAAATGCATGCGAGCTTTTCTCACAGTCTCTCTCAGATTCTCGAAAACTGTTGTTATAAGTTACTTTCAGAACCATACCTGTGAACTTGTAATCATTTGAAACAGTTTACTGAGTTGTGCCCTGTAAGAAGGTCTGTAGGAAAAAACTATTTTCCATGAGGTGATGACCGTTGTTACTAACGAGAGTGTCAAACTTGACGGAGATTTAAATTGTGGCCTCAGTTTAAAGAATTTAAGAGAATTTGTTTCCTTTAACATAATTTCCCCAGTACCACAACTATTTTTCCACTAATGGGGGCCAGGGGGCTGTTGGAGAAGATTATAAAATAATTGAAATATTATATTTACCATGTTTACATTTTCTTTGGTATGGATAAAAAGGCAAATGTTCAGTTCAGACTGTTTAACTTGCAAAATTGTGCTCAAATTTCATATGTTTGCGGGTGATGTGAAGAATTCTTATTAGCCACCAGAGATGGCAGGATCACAAAATCTTACTAAGTAGCACATTGAGATATTTACATATTAGACGCCCCAAACTTCCCTATCCTACTTCCCCCCTAATGGGGAGATAAATAAAGGGGAGGACCCGCCTGTTAAACTGGCGGGTGATGGTTGTTAAACTCCCTCCCCTCCTGTGGGCCACACCCCGTTTTTAGAGCGCCAGCCACCTTGTTGCTGTAACGTGTCGGTGCTGCAGCAGGAACAATTGCTGATTGTTTGGTATATCTTTTCTTCTTTCTCCTCTGTGTCCTCGAATGACCACAATCAGGTTTTCTTCTTGATCCTTCAGTGAGCCAAGGAGCAGCGTATAGTCCAGAAGGTCAGCCCATGGGGAGCTTTGTGTTGGATGGTCAGCAACACATGGGGATCCGGCCCGCAGGTAGGCGCGGGTGTCCCTCCGGGCTTCCCTGGGCCGTGTCGCCTCCCCCACCAGCCTTCATCCACTCCGCTCCCCACTCTTGTGGGGGGTTTAACATTTGCCTGCTGCCTGCTCTGCCTGCTTTCTTTACCTCGGGTGGGGGAAAGAAAACCCTCCTTTAAAAAGTGAAGAGTTTACAACAGTGCCACTTACTCCGCCCCCTACACACCGTTTTTTCTTTTTAAACCAAGGCAGTAAGTGAGAAGGAAGCTGAGTGTCCTCCTAGTTTTTCACCACCAATTATTGCTGATTGTCCGGCCTCTTCTCGGCTTTTATCTCCTTTCTAGGACCTATGAGTGGAATGGGCATGAATATGGGCATGGATGGGCAATGGCACTACATGTAACCTCCACCATGTAAAGCAGTCGCAAAGCCAGGGGGAAGTAAGTACAGCCGGGTGCGACCTGTCTTCGCTGTCACCGCAGGGACTTCATTTCATTTTTTATAATTTGCCCCCGTTTTATTTTTCCTTGCCCATAACTGCATGCCTTTCCAAACCAAGGACCTGTTTTTAAATATACATCACCGTCTCTGAAGGCGCAGATGACACCGTTCCACACTTTTGAAAAGGCCAACTGACAAGCCTGTGTGTGCTTTAAGCGGGGGGCGGGGGGGGACACCGCCTCTTAGCCTATTTACTGAGGCCCCTCAGTGCACAAACACAGACATCAGGCAGATATTGGACATTTAAGAATAAAAATAACGTCTTGGGGGCACCAGTTGACTGAGAGAAATTAAGCAGGCTTCAATGAAGCGATAAAAAAAAAAAAAAAGGGAAAGTAGAACTGTCCTTTGAGTGACATAAATCTGTCAGGATACGATTGATGCCCAAATTATCTTATATGCAAAGATGAAATGCTGCAGTTCATTATGCCTGGTCTAGATATATGACAGCAGTGACACCATTGATTCTTCACCAGGGAGCCGGTGTGTTTTGATTATTTTTTACATGTGCCTACTGACTTTCGACACGAGACAGAAAGACAGGGAAGTCAGTCAATAAATTTAAAGGGAAAGACATTTAGGAGCAACTGAATATGAAGGAATGGATTTTTCACTGAGGCTGAATGGCTGCAGTTGGATTAAGAAACCCATTAGACTTTAAAGCTTCAAGTGTTTTTGACATCTGAAAAAAATTCAGAGTCTGCCAACAAGATAGATCCTTTGCTGAAGACACCAGAGCATAAAAAAATTCATAAAACAGCGAAACTTCTTTGTTTAATGAGGCCGAATAGAACAGCACGTACCTTGATTAAATCATTCTCTGTATGTAAATAGAGGCCAACATTTTATATGAGATCTCAGGGGGTCACCATGGCACACCATTGATGAAGCCAATTTCCTTCCTTCCTTCCTTTACTAATGCAGTCAAAAAATGTAGAAAGCAATGTTCCCTAAAACAGCTATAGAGAAAACATTTGCTCAGCTTGGATAATTCTTAATATAGGCCATATAACTTCTAGCCTATTTAATTACATAACATATTTTATGCTTCATGACCAATTACATTAATAGCTTAATACAGAAGAATATTATCCTCTCTTGATTTGATTATGCAGCCACACAATATGGTATATTTGGTACTTAATTATCATCATCCATTGAGCAGGCTGCTGTGGTAGAATAAACAGAGAGCTGGGACTGTGCAGGCTGTGTTATTGTCTTTAGATGGTTTTCCACTTCTGTTAATAATGGACTGCGGATCTACTTAACAAAATGACTGCCACGTATAAGCCTTTAGATTACCAGCTTACAGTGTCAAAAACATCTGTTCAGCTTTTCAACTGTAGGTACCGGAGGTTAAATAGAGGTGAATAAAGCTGTCCTGTTAGTTCTCGGGATGGACAACAATAAATATAATAGAACCTTAATCCAATGAACAGGTAACTTGCAAGAGAAATCAGAACCTTTCAACTGCTGACTTCCCAACATTTTAACTCACAACTTCAAATCTTGTATATCTTGATTAAGAATTTCTAGATGTGTTCTATTTTATCCCTAATATCGAGGTATTATTTTTTTTTGGAATTTCCAGACATAAACTACTGGGCATGTCATATGACCTTACGTTGACTTCTTACCTTTGACCTTTACAATCTCTTGGGCGTACTGCTATAAGAATGCCTCTAATTCAAAAAAGGGGCTTCATTTTAAATATACATAAAAGCCCATCCCTTCAAAATGAATATGGCATAATGTTTTGTGTAATAAATTTTTCATGAAGAAATATAGATATAAGATGTCAATTTTATTTTAATATCTATAATTTTCATCCATATCTATAAATGCAACAAAGGAAAATAAATGATATATCAACAGTTAACTGATAAAACTCAACTTAGAATTTATATTCTTATTGCATTTATCAAAGAAATGTACTGAATACCATTTTGAAAAACAGTTCCACTTTATGACATTTAGTTGCATTAAATATTTAGTTCTGTTGTGTTGCATTATACTGCTGTGCGATGAAATTAAATGCAAACTACAATTTGAATGTCTGCAAACATTGGCAAGAATCTGCAGCTAAATTTAGATATAAGATTTGCAGTGTCTGTTGTTGTGTTTTTTTTTTTTTTCCTTTTCATCTTTGATGGGTAAAGTATAAAAATGTTTTGGAATTTGACCTGCTTTCTTTTTCCATCTCTTTTCAGGTTTGCAGAGCATGCCAGGGGACTACATTTCTCAGGGTGGTCCTATGGGAATGAGTATGGCACAGCCAAGTTACACTCCTCCCCAAATGACCCCACACCCTACTCAATTAAGACATGGACCCCCAATGCATTCATATTTGCCAAGCCATCCCCACCACCCAGCCATGATGATGCACGGAGGACCCCCCACCCACCCTGGAATGACTATGTCAGCACCAAGTCCCACGATGTTAAATTCTGTAGATCCCAGTGTTGGCGGACAGGTCATGGACATTCATGCCCAGTAGTATACGGGAACTCAAGCGAACAGGAAACACACGCAAAAACTATTTTAAGACTTTCTGAACTTTGACCAGATGTTGACACTTAATATGAAATTCCAGACAGCTGTGATTATTTTTTACTTTTGTCATTTTTCATCAAGCAACAGAGGACCAATGAGACAAGAACACAAATGTGAAATCATGGGCTCACTGAGACAATTCTGTCCATGTAAAGATCCTCTGGAAAAAAAGACTCCGAGAGTTATAACTACTGTAGTATAAACATAGGAACTAAGTTAAACTTGTACATTTCTGTTGATCACTCCGTTACGTTGCCTCAGATAGTTTTAGAAGAGAAAAATAAATATATCCTTGTTTTCCACACTATGTGTGTTGTTCCCAAAAGAAGGACTGTTTTGGTTCATCAGTGAATTCACTATCCAAGAGAGACTGTGGTATATTTTAAACCTGTTGGGCCAATGAGCAAAGAACCACGCCGAGACCACGGTGGACGTGTGGCTGAACCTCACCCCTCGGACTCCAGCTTCAAGAATGTGTTTTCATGCCCGGCCTTTGTTTCTCCAGAAATGTGTCCTTTAGTTTCAAACAGATCTTTATAGTTTGTGCTTCATAAGCCAATTCTTCTTCTTATTTTGGGGGACTCTTCTTCAAAGAGCTTGCCGGTGAAGACTTAAAGACAAAGCGGGAGCTTCTTCCAGGAGTTCTCAGCCTTGGCCGTGGACAGAACAACCTTAAGTTGGGCAGCTTTCCTCGACACACAAGTTAACGGTCATAGCACCACCACTAGGACTTCATCAGAAACTCAAAGCTTGGGGGATAAAAACGGAGCAAGAGAATACTGTAACAAACTTCGTACAGAGTTCGGTCTATTAATTGTTTCATGTTAGATATTCTATGTGTTTACCTCAATTGAAAAAAAAAGAATGTTTTTGCTAGTATCAGATCTGCTGTGGAATTGGTATTGTATGTCCATGAATTCTTCTTTTCTCAGCACGTGTTCCTCACTAGAAGAAAATGCTGTTACCTTTAAGCTTTGTCAAATTTACATTAAAATACTTGTATGAGGACTGTGACGTTATGTTAAAAAAAAAGGTGTTAAGTCACAAAATGCGGTAATAAATATTTCATTTTTGATTTTTTGTTAGGCTTTTGTGTTTTTCATAGTTGTAAGGCAAGGCAGGACGATGCTTACTATATGTGCTGTTCAAAGCAGGTGATGGTTTTATCCCCGGAAGTTGAGTTTATTTGAGACTTAACTTACCAAGAATTTTTAAGGTAACCATCGGTCCCTTTCGGTGTACATTTGGCTTGTAAATTCTCCCAGCAGACAACTTCAAAAGGTATGAAACTGTGTGTGCGTGTGCGTGAGTGTGTCTGAGCCAGACTGAAGGATCGCCTTCAACGTGTCCAATCTCCTTTCTAAATGCATGATGTTGAAAACGTACTTTTAGATAAAGCTTTTTATGTTCTTCCTCTGCCAGAATAAAGGGCTTTTGCAGGGTTAATTTTACATCATAAGAAATAACTAACGTCTGTGCTCAAAGATAATTCATCTGCCTGTGTTTTTTCTCTGTCTTACTTTCTAAAATGCTGTTGAATATGTAAATTAAAATTTACATATAGATGTTCATAGCTGAGTAAACAACTTCTAGGGAGTTTGAAATCCTGAGTTGGAAAGATTACTTAATCATTAATGTTTAATATAAATTATATTATGATGTCTTTTTATTTCAGACACCTCCATGTGTAGGCACGCTAGTGTGATGTGGTGACTAAACTTAAATTTTTTTCTAAAACAGCAACAAAACAGGCAATATAATGCTGTTTTCAAAATCTCATGCAACATTCCTGGAAATTTGTGTCATTAACTGGCTGATACTGCACAAACAATGCCTGCCAAAGCGTGCAAAGTGAGAAAAAGTGTGAGGTATTTGCACACCCCTTCAATTTTTAAAATAAATATACTACCCTGGGATTTTGTAACACCTAAATTTTTAATCCTGTTTAGAAGATCTAATAGCTAGTTGTGTAATGTCAACTTGATGGGGAAATAACTCACTGTCTCAGAAATCCAAGTTTGTATCATATTTGGGTTTCTTCCATCTTCCCGTTGCGGAAACCTTAGTAGAAGCTGTATGCAAAGGAACAAGGAAGTAAACTTCTATTGTTCTGTGTTGTTTTTAGTTAAGTAGAATTTTAACAAATACGTTTATGACTTTAGTTAATGTGCTGCCATTTAAAAATAGAAATAACATTTCTGATACAAAGCAACTGATAATGGAGAAATTCTGGGCCACTTAGAAAAGAGATAGCGTCCCTCTTGTTTCTTGTCATCCCATTTCACATGGATTCTCTTTGCAAAATTTAAATACTTGTATACTTTAAATGCTTTTAGGTAAATTTTGACAAGTTCTCTGTTTATAAATTAACTCTTACATCAGCTGAACATTTTCTTTTTTGCAGTTTTTCATTTCCTCTCAGAAAAGTAAATGCTGAAGGGTTTACTTGCTAATTGGCTCATGTTTAGGAAGGGTTCATGCAATTATTAATAAGCTGTTTCATCGAAGTTTAGACCTCAGAGCTCTCCACCCTTAGTTTTAGAGGTGTAGTTTCTTCAACAAAACCACATCCTGTCATGTTAACCTTTTTAAAATATCTAGAGATGAATGATAATCGTAATAATATTTGTTTGCACCCCCCCCCCCATAAGGCTGAGAGGGGGTAGAGTTGTCCAATTTGTATAAGGCTTTTTTTATACCACCCCAAAAGCACTTGCTCCTATCTCGGGTTTACTATTTAGTATAAAGAGTTCCGATTTGGGTATATTTAAGAAAGACTCAGCTGTCAAAAGCAAAGAAACTGGGAATGGTGTTTTGACAACCATATAGTGTTAAAGGAAATACTGTAGTCTGAATAAAATTGCTTATGTTCTCCAAAACAAGAGTAATATAAAAACACTTTTTATTTATATGGAAAAGCAAAAGCAGAAATAAATTCCAAAGGTTTCCCTTTCTTTAAGAAATTCTGAGAGAACTGCAGTTGCCATCTGTTAAGGGTTGGGAATTGAGCAAGGAACCACATTTAGGGGGGAAAGAGAAAAAAAAGACCAGGAAAGTCTGTGTCTTCCATTCACCCTTTCTCCCTCCCTCCTCCAAAGTCACCCCCCCCCAGCTCACCCCAGTTAGATTTGCCCAGAAGAGGCCATCAGGATCCTCTGGCCTCCTAGCCCCCTCCCGCGCCGTGGGCCTGTTAACCCGGAGCAGATTTGGGAGGGGAAATGTGGCTAATATCTCTAGCAGCTGTCAGAGGAGGGACCTTCCTTCAAAGGGACGGGACAGGGATCTTCCACCAGTTCCCCATTAGTCCTGCAGGCCAGCAATTTGATAAGGAGCCCGCGCCTCCGCTGCAAGTTGCCACCGCGTCCGAAAGGCCTGTGCCTGGGCCTCTGCATGTGCCCAGGGGCCTGTGCTTTGCAGCCACCGCCTCCCGACGGCGCCCACCGAGCCGGG